ATTGGGTGTGCAGTATATGAGTGTGGGGATAGTTAGTGCGGGTGGTGGGTATTGTTGAATGAAGGGTATTTGTAAGAGTGCGGGGATATCTGAATGTTGGGGGTATTGCTGCATTGTGGGGGGTACTTGCGTCTGGGGTGCTTTGCGTGTGGGGGAGTGCTTGCGTGTGGGGGTGCTTGCGTGTGGGGGGGAGTACTTGCGTGTGAGGGTACTTGCGTGTGGGGGGTACTTGCGTGTGGGGGTTCTTGCGGGTGGTATTGGGGAGTACTTGCGTGTGGTGGGGTACTTGAGAATGTGAGGCAACTTGAGTGTGAGGGTACTTGCGTGTGGGAATATTTGAGAGCGGAGATATTTTAATATGCGAGTATTTATTTGAGTATTCGAGAATAAATCGTGTGTGTGTGTGTGTGTGTGTGTGTGTGTGTGTGTGTGTGTGCGCCAGAGAGACAAGTAACTCACGGTCACGTGGTACACCTGTTGGTCTGGTCACTTACCTGAAAGGAGAAAAAAAAAACATTAATATTTAGCAATAAAGATTATCTAATACACTATGGATAATGTCAAGGAATATAGATGAAAAGTGTATGTATGTATGTATGTATGTATGTATGTGTGTATGTATGTATGTATGTGTGTGTATGTATGTATGTATGTATGTTTGTTCACTTGCATTTTTACCAATCAAAACTACTTTAACTAATCAATAGCATGTTTTACCATCCTATAGCAATTTAATTGATTTTTTACCAATCACTAGCATTATTACCAATCACTAGCATTATTACCAATCACTAGCATTATTACCAATCACCAGCATTATTACCAATCACTAGTAATTTCCTGACCAGAATCACACCCCCACATGTTTCTTATCTGCTCCCAACATCTAAATTAGCTCTTGGGTCCCCAACTCTCCCTAGTTTAAATTTAATTAATATCACGCCAGAGTAAATTATATTCTTGTAAATATCTTTCGTAAATTAATAAAAACTGCTGTAAAATATTCTTATGTATATTGTAAAAAAAATCAAAGTTGTAGAAAAATATTAAATTTGATTTTGTGTAAGTGAGAATTTTATGTGAATTGTGCAAAATGATATTGTAAGATGTAATTTAAAATTTACTCTGAAATTGAAAAAAATAAATAACATAGTAAACAAATAATGAAAATGACAGTAAAACAATTAACATTAGCCTATAGTAAAATAAAAATATTCAAAATGACAATGTAAAAAAAAACTAATATATTCAAACAAATACAAATTAAATACCTATAAATAAAATTCACAAGAAGCTCAAAATTACGTTATTAATTCCTGTTCTTTTAAACAACACCACGAAGGAGTTTTTTAATAACATTCAACATTACCCAAATTTTTACGCAACATTCAGACGTAACGAAAAATAATATCATTGTAAGTCAAATATAGTTCGAGTACAACATTCATTTTATCTCTAAATTCTATTTTTTCCGTCAGTGAGTGGGTGAGTGAGTGAGTGAGTGAGTGAGTGAGCGAGCGAGTGTGTGAGTGAGTGAGTGAGTGAGTGAGTGAGTGAGTGCCACTGTCCGTGTTGCTCCCTCTTTACAAATAATAAATGCTGAAAGAGAATACAACACCCTAAAAATATTGACAACACTGCAGCAGGTGTGTTGTTTACTCTCTAGATAATAAGAAAGTTTGGAATACAGGTGTGGTGTAGCTGGTGAGGCAGGCGCACACACACACACACACACACACACACACACACACGCACACACACACACACACACACCATCAAGCCGTGTACACACATATACCTGTACATACATGTTCTGTCCTCTCAAAATCCTCCCTCCCCCTCTCTTTACTCTTCCCTTTCTCTCATACCTCTTCCTTCTCTCTATCTCTTCTCTACCACTCATATCACTTCCCTCTCTCTATCTCCTCTTCCCCTCATACTTCTTCCCTTTCCTCTTCGTATCTCTGTCCTCTTCCCTCCTCTCTCTCCTCTCCCTTCCCTCCCCTCCTCTCCTCTCCCCTCCCTCTCTCTCTCTCCCCTCTCTCTTTTCCTCTCCTCTCCTCTCCTCTCCCTCCCCTCCCCTCCCCTCTTCTCTCTCTCTCTCTCTCCTCCTTCCTCCCCTCTCTCTCCTCCCTCTCTCTCTCCCTCTCCTCTCTCTCTCTTCTCCCCTCCCCTCCCCTCTCTCCTCTCCCCTCCCCTCTCTCTCCTCTCCCCTCCCCTCTCTCTCCTCTTCCCCTCCCCTCTCTCTCTTTCTCCTCCTCTCCCCTCCCCTCTCTCTCCTCTCCCCTCCCCTCTCTCTCCTCTTCCCTCCCCTCTCTCTCTTTCTCCTCCTCCCCTCTCTCTCTCCTCTCCCCTCTCTCTCTCTCTTCTCCCCTCCCCCCTCCCCTCTCTCTCCTCTCCTCCCCTCTCTCCTCTTCCTCCCCTCTCTCTTTCTCCTCTCCTCTCCCCTCTCTCTCCCTTCCTCCCCTCTCTCCGTCCTCTCCTCTCTCACCAAACCTTAGTAAACCACCAGCATTAATATCACCCCAACAATAAACACTCAATATGTCCACTTAAAAATTTCAACCCAAAAATCAAACCTTTTTAAACACTCAAATAAACTGAATTTAGGCCATAAAAATTAGCCGACTACCTGATTTTTCGAGGGTTAGGTTAGGTTAGGTTAGGTTACAGTAGGTTGGGTTAGGTTAGGTTAGGTTACAGTAGGTTGGGTATTGAGTCGCTGTGTTCGTATGTCCTTAGAGCGATAAACAAACGGACATTAAATTCTCTTCTATAGCCAATGGTTCGAGCCAGGGTGTTGGTATGTAAGCTGACTTTACAGTTGAGGTGTGAATGTGGTCAAGTGCAGTGCCAGCCATACTGTTACATTGTGTACTGAATGATCATTATTCCTCAACCATTTTAATGACTATCTACCACAACTACCATCTACAACTATCTACCACTACCATCCTCTACCACAACTATTCGCAATCATCTACCACTATCAACAAAAACTTACCACAATCATTTATAACCATCTACCACATCCTACCACCACCATTCATTACCAACTACCACAACCATTCATAACCATCAACCACCATCAACTATAACTAACCCGAATCATCTATGACAATGTACCACAACAACCTACCACCATTCATCACCAGCTACCACTATCTACCACAACAACCAGAGGACAGCCACCACCAACAGTAAACAACTCAAGGAAGTAATACTATACGTCTCCCCTCACCCATTCCCCTCACTACATGTTCCCTGGTCACCTGGTGGAACGGATTTCCCCTCTTCCATCTCCCTCCCAGTCCTAACTCTTCCTCTTTCCCTCTTCGTTTCACCTCAGTTCCCTCCCCTCCCTTCGCCTCCTTTCTCTCCTCTCCCTTCCTTCTCAACCTGATCACCCCTTCCAGCCTCTCTTCCCCTCCCTCTCTCTCTCTTATCTTTCCCTTTCCTCTCACTCTATGATCTCCTTTCTTCCTACCCTCCCTCACCTCTCCTCCTACCCCCCTCCTCCTCCTACCTTCCCCTCCCTCTTCCCTCTCCTCTCATCCTTCGCTTCGTTAACCTCTCCATAGAGGCTCAAGCCTTCCTGATGATATCATCGGTACCAGGCCCCTACCGCCACTACCACCACTACAATCATCACTTCTACCACCGCCACCATCATCACCAATACCACCGTCACCGCCTACTACCACTACAATCATCACCACTACTACCACTACCACCATCACCACTACTACCACTACAATCATCATTACCACTACCACCATCACCACTACCACCACCACTACCATCGCCACAACCACCACCATTACCCTTACCACCACTACTACCACCACCATCACCCATACGTCCTCCCTCCTCCATCAACCACGATTCATCATTATTTTTACAGGATATACCATGAGTCACCACGACCTACCATGGGCCTACCATATCTACCACAACCTTGATCAACAATAACCTATCAAGACCTACCACAATCCTCTATCCTTAACCACAATCCTCTATCTTAACCACAATCCTCTATCTTAACCATAATCAACCACAACCAACCATGACTTTCATATTGAACTAGTGGTTTGGGATAGGTTAAATTCGGTTAGGTTAGAGAGGGGTCAAGTTAGGTCAAGTTAGGTTAGGTTAGATTAGGTTAGGTTAGATTATAGCTGAGGCACCTCAGGTATGTGTTCAATAAGATTAGATTCCACTCTGGGGTCGAATTCTCACCCGAAAACTACCCAGTCTCATCCAATCTTCGAATCTTCGCAAATCAAATTAGTGGAAGTCCCCCTTAGTAAGAAAAATGGTGGTAAGCAGCGCTGGCCGGGAGTGTGTGGCGAGGAGGAGAGAAAGATTAGTAGGGGAAATAAATACAATGGGTAAAAAATCAAGGGAATACTAAGAAAAAATAAGACGAAAGAGAGAGAGAGAGAGAGAGAGAGAGAGAGACACACACACGAGGTAATCAATAAATCTGACAAAAACACAATCTCGAATTCAGGTAACGCTACTACCCCTTCCACTCAACACGCCCATACCAGCATCCGCCAGGAGGGTTAGCGGAATATGAAATAAGGCCCTCAAACACCCATATATGGTATAGGGTAGGCTGTCTAGTGCCTGTGTAGACAAACAATAACAAACCCACAGTAAGGCGATCAGCCCACCCTCTCCAACCTCCTCCTAAATTTCTTCAATCTCCGAACTATAACTTCCTTCCCCCACCTCTTGTCTTTTTTTCACCCTTCCTTTCACTACACCCCCCCCCTCCACACACACCCAACAGGAGTCAGGTGTCACAGATGAGCTCCCACACCTAATGGATCTTGTGAGTAAGTTTTAGATCATGTTATTTCAGTCTGATCCAAACCTCATATGAAGAGACCCACAAACTAATCATTGCGTTATTGGTTATGTTAATTTGGTGCCGCTAACTTATTTGGACCGAATATAACCTGTGGTGAAACTGATCCTACCTTAATGTACCTCTAACTTGTTTCAAAGGCTACATCTCCTGTTTCAAAGGCTACATCTCCTGTTTCAAAGGCTACATCTCCTGTTTCAAAGGCTACATCTCCTGTTTCAAAGGCTACATCTCCTGTTTCAAAGGCTACATCTCCTGTTTCAAAGGCTACATCTCCTGTTTCAAAGGCTACATCTCCTGTTTCAAAGGCTACATCTCCTGTTTCAAAGGCTACATCTCCTGTTTCAAAGGCTTCACCTCCTGTTTCAAAGGTTTCGAGTTTTATTTCATAATTTTCTTAAATGACTGAATACACTCACCCCCTCACACTCCCAACAACGCACTTCCCCACCACAACACACTCACCGTCCACACTCCCAACTCCCCCAAGGCTAAGGTCAAGGCCTGGAGTCCCTCACCAAAGTTTAAGTCAATATTGAATCATAATCTTACCGCGTGTTGCTGGTCATTAAGTGTAAAGTTAAACTCAACTAAACTTAATGGCTAATTCTCAGACGTTATCAACCCGTAAGTGAATTTACTTTAATATACTTATAAAGCCTAGAAATGACTTGGTAGTGTTAAGTAGGGTTTATAGTAACTCATTTATTTATCAACATGAGTAATTATATGTAATTAAATAGATTAGTTATCATAGACTACTTAATTATACCAAGTTGCCTGTACAATAATTAGCTGAGATTGTTTAATTATACCAATTAAGTTAAAAATAGTTAAGTAGATCAGCTGTCATAGTTAAAAATTATACAAATTTAATTACTTAATACATAGGGATAACTATTTAATTTAACTCAAAATAGCTGAAATCACTAAGACAATCTGATTATTTTACTTTAAGAAAAATAAGTGACATTAACAAGTTGTGTTAAATTAATCCAGGAATCTAAGTAATTAATCGTCATTACACATAATATAACATGAGAAAATTATTAATTAGTTGTATTAACATCAACAAAAATAAGCTAGAAGAAATATATTTAATTATCAAGATACAGACAGACGTACCAAAAATTAATTATACAAATACGTTTAAACCGACATATATACACAGACAGACAAAGGTGTAAATTATACATATTTAAACAGACATAAACAGATAGACCGACAGACATAAATTATACACATCCATTCAAAAATACATATATACTTAAACAGAAAGACAAACATTCAAATTATACATGCATACTATAATACACATACCGTACATACATAGACACAACCAAACAAACCCTAGTAGTTCATGACCCGCTCGGTGGCTGACTAAACATTAATAAAGTCTACGGTCACAGCCAGCCACTGTTCACTACCTCTGTTTCATATTAACCCATTGAAATTAATTAATTATTGGTCAGTTGGGCCCCAGTCCTCATGGGCCCCAACCTAACATATTATTATTATTATTACTATTATTATTATTATTATTACCATTATTATTATTATTATTATTATTATTATTACCATTATTATTATTATTATTATTATTATTATTATTATTACCATTATTATTATTATTATTATTATTATTATTACCATTATTATTATTATTATTATTATTATTACCATTATTATTATTATTATTATTATTATTATTATTATTATTATTATTATTATTACCATTATTATTATTATTATTATTATTATTATTATTATTATTACCATTATTATTATTATTATTATTATTATTATTATTACCACCATTATTATTATTATTATTATTACCATTATTATTATTATTATTATTATTATTATTACCATTATTATTATTATTATTATTATTATTATTATTATTACCACCATTATTATTATTATTATTATTACCATTATTATTATTATCACCATTATTATTATCATTTTATTCTCACTGACATTGCTAGCCTCTACATGAACAAATTGTACATCGCCGCTGTACAAACTTGACCTTAAGAAAAACAAACTGTACACCATCATATGTGTACACAGTGTAAAGAAACACCCGTATGAATGACGTACAGTAAACAACAAACACAAACACAACAAATTACAACAAACAAACACCAGATACACGACAAACAGACACTCATGATATTTAGTAAAGGAACTGTAACCTAAATAATTGTTACCAAGTTTCAAACATCATTAAAATTGTCTAATATTTGTTAAAATTAATTTGTCCACGTAATCAGCCAGACTTGGTGGGAAAAGTATTAATTTAATTATATCTCACTCAAGGGTAATTACTAGTTAATTAAGGTAATATACTGGCGTCTGTTTAATTGATGAAAGTTATGCTGACAAATAATTAAAAAAATACGCCAAAATAAGGAATAAAAAATACAAAAAAATTATTCATATTAAAAAAAAATTATATATTTTTTTTAATTTTCTGTTAAAATTATGAGTCATGTGTTAATTTGTTTCGTGACTATTATGAGTTATATTGTAAATTGTTTCTGTGGGATTTAGCAGTACTCTGTAAATTGGGTGTGTTGTTCAAACTGGGATATTAATATAAATTGTAAGCTATCAAAAATTAGGCGAGTTATAAATTAGTTACAGTAGCTTTGTACAAGTTGGTTAGCGTTGTACAAATGGGTTAAAGTTGTACAAATTGGCGAGTGTTACACAAATTGGCTAGTGTAGCATATATGGGAACGCTTCTGAAATTGGGACTACATCACAAAAATTGGAACTTCAATGATTAATAGCAGCGATACTTAAAACTCTGGAGCATTAAAAAAATTACTAATACTTCAAAATTGGATATTAAATAAATTGTGAATCCTAAAAAAATGGGAACATTCTAAAAATCACAGGAAAGGGAAATATTAAAAACTGGCAAAGGAAAACAAAATAGGGATACGACAATGCTTTATAAATTGGGAAAATTGCACAAATTGGAGGTGTTGCAACGTGTGTAAATGAGTGAGTGAATATAAGCAAGTGTGTGTGTGTGTGTGTGTGTGTGTGTGTGTGTGTGTGTGTAGAAGACGAATTGTTTATTTAGGCTTAACAAGAGAGCCAACCTTCTCTCCCCGGAGTTGCATTCAACGCTTGCAACAGTTTCATTAACCTGATGCAATATCACACTCTAAATACATAAGTGTACATAAATTAATTTGCAGGCACACACACACGCACACACACACACACACACAAAGGATATATTGTACAAGTATATTCACGCATTGACAACACGTGCACACATACACACTCACAGGTATATACTCGTACATACCGTCACATGTGTACACGAGTTGCTCTCTCTCTCTCTCTCTCTCTTTTCTTAAACACACACACAGATAAAACTCTCTCTCTCTCTCTCGTATCCGTTCATAGAGAAAATAAATATTCCATCCCTTTTTCTCTACACAAAACACACTCTCTCTCTTCCTCTCTCTCTCTCTCTCTCTCTCTCTCTCTCTCTCTCTCTCTCTCTCTCTCTCGTCTATTTATTAAGAAAATAATCAAAGAATCGTCTGATATTTTTGTCTCGTGAGTTAAGATGAAAGACCAAATACACCTGGTTGGTCTAGGATGCAACACAATAGTGGGGGTTATAGTGAGGGGGTAGGGAAGGTGAGGAAGGAGAGGAAGAAGGAAGGAGGAAGAAGGAAGGAAGAAGGGGAGAAGGAAGGAAAAGGAAAGGAAGGAAGAGGGAGGAAAGGGAGGAGGAAGGAAGGGAAGGAGGGAGGAGGAAGGAAGGAAGGAAGAAGGAGGAGGAAGGGAGGAGGAAGAAGAGGAGGGAGGAGGAAAGGAAGGAAGGAGGAGGAGGAAGGAGGAAGGAGGAGGAAGGAGGAGGAGGAGGAGGAGGAAGGAGGAGGAAGGAGGAGGAAGGCAAGGGGATGGAGATGAAGGAAGGAAGGAGAGGGAGGAGAGAGGGGGAAAGGAAATGAAGGAGGAAGGAGAGGAAGAAAGAGTGGGGGAAGGCGATAAAGAAGGAATTTTAGGTTAGGTTAAGTTAGGTTAGGTCAGGTTAGGTCAGGTCAGGTCAGGTTAGGTTCTAATGCGTTATTATTCAGATATCGTAAGTTTATACTTTGCTATACTAAGTGTTTACTGGCATGATATCTCAACGTTATAATATAAGGGACCTTGCAATATCAGGAGGTTACGATATCGGACAGTTACGATATCAAAACTACGATATCAGAACGTTAATATCCACCTCTCTTCAATACTTTTCAGAGTGTGAAAAGTTTTTACTCTTGGTGTCAAAAATTTTAGATTAAATTTTTTGGAGGTGAAATATTTCCAAAAAACTTTCGCCTATTTTCTCTTACTTTTCTTTCCTTTCTTCTTCTTTCTCCTCTCTTCTTCCTTTCCCTTCCTTCCTCTCTGTCTTCTCTGTTAGACTAAATATAACCTAACCTACCCATCAGAAACAATAACCACCACTAAACGATAACATTAACCACCACAAACGATAACATTAACCACCACTAAAAATAACATTAACCACAAAACGATAACATTAACCACCACTAAAAATAACATTAACCACAAAACGATAACATTAACCACTAAAAATAACATTAACCACTAAAAAATAACATTAACCATCATAATAAAACGGTAAATATAAACTCAGCAGAAGCCATTAAGTTAGCAGCAGTGAGGTGGAAAAAAGTGGATGGGTCGCCTTCACGGTCTGTCACCCCGGATAATGTCTGGTCTCTCCCCCCCTCTAAGGTCTCTCTCTCTCTCTCTCTCTCTCTCCCTCTCTCTACTCCCACCTTCGTCTCTCTCCTCCCTCTTTGGTCTCTCCCTCCCAATGGTCTCTCTCCTCCCTTGTCTCTTCTCTTTTAAGGTCTCTCTCCTCGTTCATGGTCTCTCCCTTCCCCCTGGTCTCTCACCTCTCCCTTGGTCTTTCCTCTCCCCCCTGGTCTCCCCCCCCGGTCTCTCCTACTGGTCTAATAGGCTCCTTAATACCACCAGACCTTTCTCTTGCCCTCCTCGTCTTAAATAATTTCTAAGGTTAGGTTAGGTTAGGTTAGGTTAGGTTAGCGCCGTCTTAAGTCCGTTTGTTAAAGCCATTTCCATCTCCACCCTTCAATTCCTTAGCTCCAGTTCTAACTCCAGTCAATTCCTTAACTATCTCCAGTCAATTCCTAAACTATCTCCAGTCAATTCCTTAACTATCTCTAGTCAATTCCTTAACTATCTCCAGTCAATTCCTTAACTATCGCCAGTCAATTCCTTAACTATCTCCAGTCAATTCCTTAACTATCGCCAGTCAATTCCTTAACTATCTCCAGTCAATT